ACATGATAGTTTCTATATTTGGCTGTTAAGTTGGTAAAGCCGTAATGTAGACAAGAACAATTAAAATGCGGTAAAACTCAGAAATGTGAATGGCATTAACTGAGAATGTACATGCAACGACGATGCCTAAATAAATCGTTCAGAAACTGTTCTTAATTTGATTACTGTCCCACGTCTCTTTAAGTCCAATAACGTTTCTTTAATTTTCTTATTATTTTTGACAATATTGTGCCAAATTCTTCTAGATTCCAACTTTAAGAAAGTCAACTTTTTTGTGTTCCTTTTTGCAACAAAAATCATGTCAACACAAAACTGACACCATGACATCATAATTCACAAGCTTAAATGTCGAAATATCTATTTTATGGTCAACAGTGTTGTGAATTATGGAGTGACATTATGAATTTTGAATGTGTGCAAAAGATTAACTGTGGGTAGATTAAAATAGCACAGTTAAATTAGAATTTTAGTTTTAACGGAAATCTAACGGATTTTTCAAATTTAAATCTTCCTGTTCTCCATCTTGAAATTAATTTCCTCACTTAAAAAAGTTTTTTAGTGATTTAATGCCCGTAAATACTTTAATTAAGCAACGATTGTTGTGAGAACTCGCAAAAAAGTGGCAGTAAAGTAATACAAAAGCATTGAAGCTGGCAAAGTGATTTATCTTCAGGTTTTGAATGATTTAAAGCACTGACCATATATTTCAGCAAGCACACTGATTATGTAAGCACCAAAGTGCACTTAAAGTATTAATGCATGAGATAATGAGCGAAGAATAAGAGGATTTACGTTCCACTGGACTTGGATTAATAAAAAAAAAATATTGTAAGTAATTCCACAAAGATTGTAAAGTCATAAAGTATATTGAATCCATTTAATTAAATCTTTCAATCATTCAGCACACATTTATCAGCCCGTAATTGTCGGGATCATATGAAATTAATTAGCCAGTAATAGGCTATCAGTAAGAGTGAAATCATCATAGTCATCACTCAAAAAGAAAGAAAAAAAAAGGCGAGAAAGGAAGAAAAAGAAGCAAAGAGAATGAAAAAAATTTAATTAATTCATTCCACGCAGGCGATATTATTATTGAATATTGCAATCAAATGGTCAAGGTTACAATAAAAGTCAATTGAATTTTGCTTCCATTCCAAACGAATTAAATCTCATGAATCATTTTCTGTTGTCATTCCGCATAAATATATAAAAGAATTCAGAACTGGATATATTTTGCAATTCATATGTGCACATCCAACACACATTTATTTGCGTATACCATCCGCAACGTGAAATGTATAAGGCATGCGAATAAGAGAGGAAGAGAATGTCAAAAGTGACTTTGTTGCCCTTGAAAAATTTTCTCTCTGACGCGAAATATCTGCAGTCAGCTTGATAGACTAATGAAGAATTTCATTAAGACATGATAATACAATCAAAATTGTTGCTTGCTATTTCATATTTCCATGTAATATTTGCGTAGCAATAATGTTGCTTAGACGAAGTCTGAATAATACTTTTATTTCAATTATCTTATTTATCTACAAATAGTCTTCAATTACTTCACATGTCTGTGTATTGAAATATGTGGAATTTACGTCAATTGTTTTTCTAAGCAGAGGTTTGGAACGAACTGCTAATAAATTACTCAAATATATTCGATTGATATGTAGAATGTGTAAAGCCAGATATCTCTCTTTCTTTTGAAGTCTTGTTCTGCACCGGAAAAATTCAAATGAGGCTCCTTTGAAGTACGGATGATCGTAAAGTATGTTTGAATGAGAGTTAAAAATGATGTCCTACAATTTAAGTAACAAGGAGTTGTGTTATAGTCAATAGCTAAGATTTGGGGGGTAATTTGTAGCCTATGTAAGACTTTAAATGTCTTGGACCAATTTTAAAGGCTAGAGAGAGCATCCAGCTTGGACTGAAGAGCTCTAATAAGTTATTTCTGGTTTCTACTTGTCACTAATGGTCTGAAACTCTCGCTGTAATACAGCAGTGCAGAACAAGAGGTCCCCTTGTCTTTCTAAGTGTGACTTGATATCCATAGAACCGTTCACTTCCTCCATTGTCGTAATACCCCAATTTATAACACATGTCATTTATGAACGTCCCCAAAATAATTCTCATGGAATTGCTTTTTAAAAAAATTTCGCGAGTTGCTTTTTGAAAAGTAATTTCTATAAACAAAGGCACAGACTATGGATTATTTATTGTGAAAGATTTACTGTTTACATTTCATGAATTACTTTTCCGGTATAAACAAAAAATAAAACGAGAAAAATTATAAACAAACTAGCTCCAAAATCATAACTTTTCTCTCAATCTAAAAGTGTAATTTTAGAAATTCAGCACAAAAAAAAGTGAGCAGTCGATCAACAAAGTCACAGCAGTGGCCATTTTGCATATTTCATCATTCTTATCTCTCATTCATCTTATCGACCTCAATGAATGCAGAATGATTCATTACAGCAATTTAACATGTCATCGATTGGAAGTAATAGTGTATTTAGTATGCATTACATGATCTCACGTGAATGTGATATGATATGCTTAATGCAAGCCATAAACATGAATGAAAAATCATATATGGGTAGATTCTGTCCTTGAATGAGCAAATAATGAAAGTCAAGTTGATATCAGTCAGCTTGCCGATGCCAAAATCGTAAATATTTTGAATAATTTTTTGTCATAAAAGGAGAATAAAGACAAAAACAATAAAATAAATAAATGATTATAATCGACAATAAAATATTTGTGTTTGCTCATTCCTAAGCATGCATAACTAGCTTATTAATGAAATGCGTGTCAAAGTGTTTGAAAAAAATTATGTAAATATCTTGTGACATCACTTTTTGAGTCATCAAAATATTTTCAGATTTTTTTTTCACTTTGTTTTGTATATGTGATCATGATCATGATGACATGAGGCTAGATTAACGTACATAAAACAGTTTGAGAGAGAGAATGTGATAATATTGAGTTGGTTTTGGCATTTTTGGGTGTGATTAGAACGCATGTTTATGAGTTTTGAACTTTTTGATAGTTTTTGGTTCTCAAAAAGAAGTATTGAAAGTTTTAACGACTTTTTGAATTTCAAATTTTATCTCAAAAAAGATGAGGAAATTTGAATTTAAAAAAGCCGTTAAATTTTTAATATAATTTCACTCAGCATATAAGCTATATTTAGCAACAGATTCCATATTTTGTTGAAATATTATTATCATTAATCATATTCAACAACTGATTCTAATACATTCTCATGGGTATTTTATCAAATGTGTCATTATTTCCTTCATTTCGCAACCTTAATAATTACTATGACCCAGAAAGTTCAATTTCACCACAGTAATGCATTCATTTTCTCCCACAATATGTGTGATCCATCAATTCAATTTCATAATCTTGTTGATCTCGTTATGTAAGCCATTCAGACTCCGTAAATAAACAATTAATCTAGAGATTCTTATGAAAATTCGCTAAAAGCAACCAAAAAATACAAAATAAAAGTAATCTGTCACAGTAAGGAGATAATAAAATGGTATTGCGCATCTACGGATTGTTCTAGTAGGTAAAAATAGAACGTGATTTTTGCATGAAAATAGTTATTTGTATTTTTGGTTATCACAGCTTTTGCTTTACTTAAATCGATAAAAAGTTTCACTCACTGTCGCACAGGCATATGCAAATATACAGTTAATGCCTAGCAACAAATAAGGGAAAATATTCGCAAAAAAAATAAAACTAGCTTTTTCGTTTTGTATTGCAGGGGGTACACAACATGATGGGGAATTCCTAACAATTTACTATCATGTTGTTTCCCCTTCGGTACGAAACTACAAAGCTAGCTTTATTATTCATAAAAGTTTTGATATTGAAGAATCGGTTGGAAATTAGATTTGAATTAACCCAATCAAAGTTGTTCCCCATTACGTTGTTTTCCCCCTCGATTCCACACTCAATGTGGAAATTGAGAGAGGAAAATTCATTGCGCTTATGCGATTGTGGAAAAAAAAACAGCAACACAAGAATCTTTCTGTTTGGCACAAAATTGACCTTGAAATACATATTTTTGTATGTCACAAAACACTGTGTCAGAAAGAAGACATTGAAAGGTTATAAGAGTCACATTTTACATGCGCTCTGTATTATTTTACCTTATAAACTCCAATTGCAACTTCTTTTTTTATCGATAAGAACTTAATTTTCACTTTCTGATAAAAGTTTTCATTTCTCACTGCTGTTATGGACGATTTTTTTTTTGGTTTCTTTTTCGTTTCACGCGCGTATATCCACAACGAATTTATTCCTACAGTAAAACTGAATTCTTCTTAATCCTCTTGCTCATCTAATTGAAGCAAATTTTAAATTCATTGAGCTAAAATGCCTTCCTTTAATACAAGAATTCTCTCTCTTAATCGGAACTGATGATTTTTTTTTTATATTTTATTACTGTATACACTCACTGTATGTTTAATTTTTGGACATGCGCCTGCTCTTGGTAAATATATTGCTCAACATACACATATATTCATGATTGGGATATGAATAAATCTCTTTCAATGTGTGCCTTGCAAGAATCTTATTTTTTTTTTGTTTTTATTTCTGATTTAAACTTGAAAAACTTTTTACTTTTGTTTTGATTCCTTTGATTATTTTTTTAAGTCTCGAGAAAAATGCGAATTGGAATTTTTATTTTTTTTTTTGAAAACTTTTCTTCTTTTTTTGTGATGATTTTTTTTACTTTATAGATTCTACGCTTGAACTATGAAGCGAGTACGAGTTCTTTCTGACGAGTTTAATGCTTACGGTTCATAATGTTATAAGCGACTAATTGTGGAAGTAAAGAAGAGAGACACAGAAGCCGATGAGAGGAAAATAAAGCGAGAAAGAGAGAAAAATCCATTTGTAGCCAACTTCAAGTCATAGAAAAAAACACTTCAAACTTCTCTCTCACTATATAAAATTATTTGTGAACCTTACAAATGTTTACTTACTCTTCTTGCAGCTCAATGCCACTATCGTTCAGTCCATTAGTTTCTTGTCCTCCTGTCGTTGCATTTACAGATGAGAAGAATTCGCGTTCTGCGTGCTCAGGCAAAGGTGTAGGCGTCTCAAAAATGAGTGTTTCAACCATTGATCCTTTTGACGAACCAAAGGAGACTCTGTGGATGGAAAGAGAAATAAAGGCTATCATGATAACAGGTTCAATATTAATGAGAATTGGGTTATTGTGTTGTGTTGGATATTATGAAATATTTATGCATGAAATGAAAGTAAAAACGGTCGCGTTTTGCACATTGAATAAAAAATAAAACTGAAAGCATTCTCGTGTGCGCACGTAATCTTAAAAAAAAATAGTAATAAATTTATTTAATGCTTTATTTGTTTAAATTAGAGTAGCGCATTTTTGAATGGGAATATTTCTTGTGATTTGTTATGTTATTTTCCTGCTCTTTGAGATCTTTGGATGGTTGGAGTGCTGGATGTGATGAGTATGATCACGTAGTTCAGTTAAACTCTTGTGACCTTAGTAAGGTTTATAGTAAATTAACTTTGTAGGTAGGCTTACTTATGAACACCTTAAAGAACTATGAACGACTATGAATCTGCTCTGGAAATTGGATCAAAACCTGATCTCAATGGAGCCTTTATGCCTCAATGGTAAATTGAACTGAAGATCTTCATCTAAGAATTATTTGATCAGCGTTACGACTTTTAAGGCAATAAAGCTCAAATGCTGTATGAATTAGACCAGTCTAGCTTAACAGAGCTATTCTTGCATAATATTGAGACTAGTGAAGCTAGCAATATTATTCAGAAGATCTAGCTTTCGGGTTAATTCATACCTGAAACGTCATTTATGGATGAACCCAAGGTGTCCCCCTGATGATGATTTCATGATGGATATTAAATAGAAATCCTTCAAAGATATCCAATGCCATTACATTTTATGAACAACCCTTAGTTCACTTATGACGTCCAGGGGAGGGGGGGGGGGGGTCAGACAGAAAAGAACAATAGAAATTCCTGGAAATCCATTGTTCGTTTTTGAAAAATGACTGTAATTTTGGACGTCATAATGACTATTGCAAAAAAGATGAGATCGACAATTTCTCCTGAGAATTCCGGTCAGTTGGGAAAACAAAAGATAAGGGTAGCATCTGATTGATTCCTTTGATTCATTCTTGATGTGTTGTGACCTTTTTCATTCACAGAATTGCTCATAGCATTAAACAATTGAATCATACAACACACAGTCAGACAAAATGCAGTTAAGCCATCACAAATCTTCGAAATTAAATGCACAAAACAACTAAAACAGCATACTGAACAAAAATTACAAAGTAATTACAAAGAAACAAATTATTTTTTCTCTATCTTTCTCACTCTTCAACTCTCGACAGCATTCAATCGCCTATGTAATAGTCAATTTCATCAAATTCTAAAATTACTTTACAGCACGCAATTTCCAATTGAGTAAACGATTCGTTAGTTTAATTTTTTGTACTGTTGATTGTTTAAGACGAGCAGGAACGTCATAGAAAGAGGAAATTTCTCATCATAGCGGTAGTTTTTACTTAAAGACCTTTACTTTATGGAAATTGATGATTTAATGGACCTAAAGATATTTTTCTCAATCAACATAAAAGGCACTGATGGGAACCTTTCAGCAGTCATCATTCGATACGGACGGAGGTGCTTTATTACTCTAATAATCAGTATAAAATCTTTTTTGCTCATTTTTTATACCAAAATTATAATCATTGCAGACGATAATCGCTACGGAAATTACCGGGGCAGCGACTGAAAGCATCATTAAGTCACAAAATGTAGGTTAATGTAGAATATTTATTTTTTCTAGTAAAATTCACTTTTTTAAGGTAAATGATCATTATTTACTCTAAAGTAGGATTGTTTATGTTTATGCTTCTCTGTCGTCAGTTCATTCTAAAATGCATTTCTTAATGGAATTACTGTAGTTTCTGTTTCGTAACTGAGAATGAAGTAAGGTGTTTTGGATTGTTTACATTTATTCAGATTGTTTACATTTTTTGGCGCGAAAAATTCCTAACCTTTGATATTCTGACCTTATGTTTTATTTTATGCTTGTAAATCAGAAGATGCTTAAGTTATGTACATAGGATTTGTATATTCTAACTTGTGCTACATTTTATTAACAATTTGTGTAAGAATTTGTAGAATTCTGTCAGTTTTAAATGAGAAAATTGAGAAAAACTTTTTGAGGTGGAATAAAAATAACCAAAAATGGATATAATTCAACTGTCTAACTTCATCTAGATAATAACTTGAAATGAGCTTATTTATCATCCCATCAACTGCAAGCAACAAACTTTCCCACGCAAAACTTTGCTGCTGATATTCACATGTTAACAACTGCCACGTATTAAGTAGCCTTCACCAAAAAAACACCCTAAAGGAATTCATAAGAATCGCACATTAAAAAAACGCAACGCTTACATAATCGCGACTCGACTGGCTCGTGTACCATAAAAGCGATAAAGTCATAGAACAATTTTGTCGAACAAAATGCAAAGCAATGTTATTGAGTAACCTTCATCAGCGCCACGGAACTTCTAATAAATTTCACTTAACTGCTCTTTCCACCTGTGCGTGCTCTAAATTAATTTCTCATTCAAGGTTATCGTGTCGTGTCTTAAAAGCTCATAATGTATTTTTATCAATCATCAAATAGTCGAGTTATAGTTTCACAGTTTGTAACCCAAATTCTGATTTAATATTTTAATTTTCAATATCTACAATGGGTGGCTATAGCTGTATTTGTTGACATGAAAAACTATAAAAATGAATTTTTTACGACCCAAGAGACAAAAGGCTTTAATTTTATTCACGATTTACATAGTCTGTAATTTTCAACGGCATAAATTGCATTCAGTTCCCTTACAAAAATGCATCGGATATCATTCATATTATTAATATTCCTTTCATTTCTGACTACAGTTTCTTACTGCGACGATGAAGATTTCATCGAAGACGATGTCGATTCTACAGTCACAGAAGAGCCGATGTATAGCCTTGAAATTCCCGATACTGTCATAATTGAACGGCATAATGCAACCGATTATATAGCGTCTGATAACATTAAACATCATGCTATGGGCGTATCTGATGAAAGGTGTGACAATGCACATGTAAGTGAACATTGAGGATTATAAAATTTACGACTATAAAGAAATAGGTCGAGGATGAGTGAGATATAAACTAACGTAAACAATTACATTACATTTCAGTACAATCTCGCAACAGACTTCGATCCAGAAAATCAGACGGAAATTGATATTAATTCAAAGTGTTTCGAGAGCAGCACATATCCTGTCAACGACAAAATCCAGCCTTTAATGACAATGCTTGAAATTCCGAAACGTTATATGCCCATTCATCGGTGTATGAAGACATACATTCGATATATCGAACGAATTCCAATGATTGGACCTCATCGACCTTTATGGGCAAAATATGGTGAATATGTGTATTTGCCACCGCAGCGTTGGTTACACAATATTGAACATGGCGCAATTGTGCTACTTTATCATCCTTGTTCTGACGCTGAGCAGGTAAAACTTAACAAGTTTTGTGTTATTGCGTGAATTTTTATGTTTGTTTAAAAATCTTTTTTTTTTGTCTATTTTGGATCGATGACCGGATGACTCATTTGTGTATGGCCTATATGAATATTTTTTACAGCTCGAACAGTTCAAAAAACTCGTGAAAAATTGCCTATTTCGTCATGTAATAACACCTTTTACAAATCTGACAGTGGAACGCCCTTTTGCACTATTAGGATGGTCTACAAGCTTAGAAATGTCGCATTATGATGAAGAACTGTCCAAAAATTTCATCAAATATTACGCAAGATCTGGGCCTGAAAAGATGTTCCGAGATGGACAGTATAAGCAGTTGCTGATTGAAAAGGCAAAAGTTGTTACAAATGTAATCGATTCAGAAATTTGCCCAGGCCTTTAAAAGACATAAAACAGCATTAATGTAACTTGAGAAGCGAGGAGTAAATTCTTTTTAAATTATGAATGATGTTGTGCAAGCTGTGTAAAGTTATACGGCCTGTTTCACTAAACTGGATTATCCTCGGTTTCGGATTATCCACTTCAGTTTTTTGGAAATATCTCCAGACGCTTAAGGTTATTAAGAGATCTAATGTGTGATCTAGTTAGAGTATTTTGCTACTTAAATTAACATAAACTTAGAATTTTTATATCTTCACTAGTTTGAGAATTATAGCAAATATCGAAGATAATCTACTAGATTTGGCTAGAAAATTGAATAATTAATACTTCTTAACGAAAAGTAAAAGTTTAAAGTATACAGAAATTTCAGGCATACTTCACTCTATTATAATCCAAAATTAGAAATACCACACCTCCCATAAAGTTTAAGATATTTACAAAAAACTGAAGTGGATAATCCGAAATCGAGGATAATCCACTTTAGTGAAACAGGCCGATAAAGCCTAAAATAAACAGATTAAAAAGCAATAATCAAGAAATTTTCTCGCGCTCTATGTGATTAATTAAAAGAAACTGCTTTTAATCCAGTTTTGTTTGCTGCTGGATGTATGAACGACCCTTTCATTATTGTTTGTTTTTTCTCGTCTTTAATTTCTGAGAAGTTTTGCATTTTGGACATAAGAATGCATTGTTTTGTGTTCAGTTTGAGTTGATCCATATGCTGGATTCATTTTTTGAGGTTAGAACATGTTAAATCCCATTCCTAGTAGAAATCTCTCTCAGAGACTGAGTGCAGATTAAGAATATCGAGTTGTAATGATTTCCGAGAACTCCTGTAACATCCAAAAATCAAATCTCATAAATTTACTAAAATGCGCTTTAGCTCCTACAACCCTACAACTTCCAAACTTCAATTCCCAGAAAGGCCAATAAACTACTCTTTAATTATTGAGATTATATTTTTTTATGTTCCCAATAATAATTACGATGCACTAAAAAATAGAAAAACATATCAACAGTGGCTTCATATCTAAAATTTCATATAATTTAAAAAAATGAACAGAATAGGAATTTTTCAACCAGAAATTTTACATAAGCCATACATTGAGTCAGTCAATTAACTGATTAACTTAATTTCTAGTACAATCAACCTCATCAACTAGATATGGAGAATGGAGGTGCACTTAGCAGTTGAATTAATAAATTGGAAGTCGTAAAAAATTTAATTTGTTTTGTTGAGCAATTGCATTGTTTGATTTAAAAGAATAACGATCTTTTAAAATTTCAATTTATTGCCATCATTTAAATTCAAATTGTTCACAGCCGTTAAATATTTGGAAACTCAAATCTCCATTTTCACACATTCTACTAATTTTACTGTTTTGCCATTCACCAATTAGACCAATTATGTAGAAAAAAATTCAGAACAAGCACATGTGATGTATTTCAAACAAAATTACACATTAAATAAGCAGAATTGAGTAAGAACAGGAAATTTTAGGCAATTTTAATGAAGTCATTAAAAATGTCGTTTATATACAGCTTCTTCAAACTACATACATCAAGGAAGCTCAATAACATAAATCATCGAAAAGTGATGCTATTCCGACTCACATTATTGTCAATTTTATCATCAGAAACTTAATTTATTTCCAAAATGGAATCATGAAATTCATACTTATAAGAGCTATTCAAGCATTAAAAACATAATAAACTTTGTACTTTTTCAGAAAAACCAAGCTATTGGAAACTGGAGCTTTTTGAAATTGAGAAAATATTTTCAGCATTAAATTTCAAGTGTGTGGATATTCTCAATGATGTTTTACATTTATCGCAGCTTATGTTTACTCAAATTTGCACAATAAACCTATTTGCCACATATTGACACCTTTTAAAAATGATTTAGGAATTTTAAAACTTTCAGGAAATGGCATTTGAACAATTATAGAAAAGTCAAAATTTAACGGTTTTTTAAAGTTCAAACATAAATGGTTTCGTAAAATTCAAAATTTAACGGTTTTGTAGAATTCAAATTTAAACGAATTTGTAGAGTTCAAAATTTAAAGGTTTTGTAGAATTCAAATTTAAACGAACATTACAAATTTAATCAAAATTTAACGACTTTGTACAATTCAAATCGATTTCAAAATTTTAAAAAACCGTTAATCAGTCATTAGACAGCACTGACTGTCTTTTATTTCAGAAATGTGTTAAAAAATCTTAGGTAATCTCATTTAAAGTCTTTCTGATAAAGAATATCAAATTATGGTAAGAAAATTGAATCAAAATCAAATTAAACGAAGCGTAAAATTGGAAGATTCTGCCAAAAGCTTAACATTTCTTAAAAATTTAAATATCTAATAAAAATAAATATATTACGTTGCAGGCAGCAGTAGAAATATTGAGAATTAATTTTCTAAATTTCAATTTATTTTTCTTCTCCTACAAAATATTTAAAAAAGTTTATTTATAGTTTTAAAAAAATGTTCATTGTTGCTCTTTCAACTAAATATCATTGTTGTACATCTACTTATCGTCAATGTGGTAATTTGAACTCTAAATGTCTTCATAGACAATAGATTGATTGACCACAGCATTTTACTTTGACTGTACATGAAATATAAACTTATGGGGGAGCAGTAGACTCAAAAGACGTGAAATTGAAGCACAAAGCAGACGAAAAAAAATATGAAAATTAAAAACACATAAAAATTTCATTTAGATACAATAATTTAATTCTTTATGACATAAATTTATGAATGTTTTTGCTTTATTTCTGTTTATATTGATTGAAACTATATGGACGAACCTTAATTCAATAAAATATCATAGGCATTTTATGGCGAGTTCATAACAAACATAGCAGTAAACGTTAACCGTGTCTAAATTGATAAGATTCAATTTAAAACACATGTTGATTGTGATTTTGTAAATTGATACTTTTAACAGATATTTAAAATTTGAATTTTTGTCAAACGAATCTTTTTTGAATCTGAAATGACAGTTAAAATATTTCAAATCTTAAATAACAGTTAAAATGATTTTTTTTCTTAAACCGAACTATCGCATGAAATCTTTCAAAAAACAGCAGTTCCTCCTCTGCTGTTTCCTCTCGCTGCTCCCCCTCACATTCTCAAAAATAACAAATTTTTCTTCATCTGCAAAAATTCATTCTCATTCAAATAATAATTTTCTTTAAAAAAATCGATTCATTCTCCATCCTACACACTACCGTGAATTTATCTTCATATCTATAATATCCGGCAATAAGAAGTGATGATTAAATAAAATTGACACGAGAAAGCAAAAAGTCAATTTATTTCAATTGCATTCTCCAACACTTTGTGGATGAAAATATAAAGGCATGAATCGATTCAATTCTGAGCTGTAATAAATCAATGAGAAATTATGAATGATGAAATGAAAATATATTAAAGATCAGAATCTCATATTGATTATGATGAATGCCATTGTTAACATTTTGGAACTATCAAAAAAAAATTAAGCAAGAGTGCTTGATGGAGATGGCAAAATTATTAAATAATTCGAAAAAAATTGATATAAATTCCAAATATGATTAATTTTTGACATTTTAGTGTCACTTGACCGTTATGAATAAATATTTTGGTCACTTCCAATTAAGTTCTGAACATTTCATTGAATTTCTTTTAAAGCAAATTCGCTTTAAAAAAATTAAAACGTCAAGTTAAGAAGAAGCTTTGCTTCTGTAAATAGTAATTGCTGTTTGACTTTCACTTTCGGACTTACGACATCGATTGCCACGTGTTTAAAATTGCTGAATTTATTTTTTTAAAGCGATCCAATTATCCTTCAATAAAAGGGATTTTCAGGGATGTTAAGCATTCGGAGTCACTCAACGTGCAAATTTTCTCAATAAAAAATCACTGAAGTGTGGCATATTGAAGCTTTTATGAGGGTACCAATCTTGAGATTCAACGAGATTTTCCTTTTTTTAATCGATTGCTATTTAAAGTCATTCATGTCTGCAGCGCAGTTTTGATCAGTTTTTATAAATAAAATTTTTAACGGTTTTGTAAGATTTAAACTTTTAACGGTATTGTAAGATTCAAACTTTTTAACAGGTTTTGTAAGGTTCAAAGTTTTTAACAGTTTTCTAAAATTCAAATTTTAACGGCTTTTTCAAATTCGAATTTCTCGATCTTAAACTTTACAAATGATGTTTGATTAATTCTCGAATACCAGACATTACATACAAAAAATACCCAGCCTCAAAAAATCTACAGATTCGTAATTAAGTGGAGCCAAAATGTTTCCTGTTTTAAATTTAATGCTTTTGGCAATTATAAACTTTATAATGATTATTTTTTCATGATGATTTTCGCACATTTTTGCGAACAAAGTATTTCTCATTTTTGTAAATAAATTAAAGCATGTGGAACTGCCATTCAATGAGAATTTTGGAATTCAAAAACCATCTGTTTATAAACTGTTTATAGTGAATTTTTCAAAACAGTCTCATTTTGATGACCTTGGGCGTTGGAGATTTTGATGTCAATTTTAAAATATTCAACAGAATCTGTTTCATTTCAAAGGGAAAACAATCTTTTTGTGGTAATGGATGTGCTGACCACAACATAAGCAATAAATTAAATTTGATTTACTTCCTTGTATGACACACGAGTTGAGACTTCGGATTCTTTTCAAAGCTATGACCTATGGTTGCATGATTTAGCACATGATATATCCAACGCACATGTTGTGTAATAATCAAGGTCATTATGGCATGGAATGTTACAGGAAGTTTGCAAGTTTGAAGTTGAAAATTTTTGCTAGAGGAGAAACAACATATTGGAATGTTTCCACAAAACTGAACTTATCCATGAAATTGAACTCATCTTTAGAACTGAACTTATCCTTAGAACTGAACCTTTCTTCCAAACTAAAATTCATCTCAAAACTGTGGTCATGTATATCTATAAAACTAAACATATCCTTAAGACTGGACTTATCCTTAAAAAAATTATCCACAAATTTAAATTTATCCTCAAAATGTATCTTCAGAAATTGAACTTATGAGATTTGACTTTCCTAAAAACTGAACTTATGCTTAATACTGAACTTATCCTCAACACTGAACTTATTCTCAGAAATAAAATTATTTTCAAAATTTTTGATATGAAATCAGAATTTCCCATGATGTTGTTTTCCACTCGGTTTTGCCTTAAAATTTTGACCTACTGAACTCTTCCTGAGCATTCTAAATGCTGGCAATTATTTAATTTAGAACAAATTTACAATCCCAAATTACAGCCAATAAAGCTGAAGCATGGCTGTAACCAACCATATATTATGTCATTATCCTCTACGAGCAAAAGCTTCTAAACCATTGTTTAAAGTTAACAAAGCTTTAAAAGCTTCAGCCATTCTTTAAAAAAAGGCAAAACTTCCTGTTTCATTTTACTATTAAATTTGTAACCCACAATTCACATCAGTTAAATGTATTCAAAACTATAAAAGTTGTAGAACGTAATAAAATTTATGCTACAAAGTCACGAAATGGTACACATTGTAGTAGCGAAAAAATCGCATATTTCATATGATATACAATCAAATATATTCGTCTTTATAAATAAACCAAAATGTTATAGGTTATTTTTGTTGGAGCTAAGTCGAGTGAGTTTAGATAATGTGAACAAAATTTAGTATATCAATTATTATTATTATTATTATTCCCATTTCTGCGAATATAACATAAATTGCGTTATTTATCTCCATCTACATCTATTCTTAAATCCATAATTTTCTCTATTCATTTTTCACTTAAATGAATGTTTTTCATTCAATTGCTATGAATGGATTCGTGATCATGTGAATGACCAAATTGAAACTTTTAAGTTGATTGTTAAAGGTAACTTCACCTTTGGTTTTAAAAACTTACTTTGGAGAGCTAGTCGAAGTGTTTTGTGTGTTTGGCTCATGAAAATTTGCTTTGGAGCTTTAAAAATTTACCAATAATTGGCCTTTGTTTTCTTTTTTTAAGATCTCTTGCATCTCTCAGAGCTCTCTTGCATCTCTTTGAGCTCTTTTGCATCTCTTTAAGCTAGTTTGCATCTCTTTGAGCTCTTTTGCATCTCTTTGAGCTCTTTTGCATCTCTTTAAGCTAGTTTGCATCTCTTTGAGCTCTTTTGCATCTCTTTGAGCTCTTTTGCATCTCTTTAAGCTAGTTTGCATCTCTTTGAGCTCTTTTGCATCTATTTGAGTTCTTTTGCATCTGTTTAAACTCGTTTGCATCTCTTTGTGCTCGTCTGCATCTCTTTGTGCTCTTTTGCATCTCTTTGGGGTCTTTTTCATCTTTTATAGCTCTTTTGCATCTCTTTAATCTCTTTTGCATCTCTTTGAATTTTTTGTCATCTCTTTGAGCTCCTTTGCATTTTTATTGCTCTTTTGCATCTGTTTTAGCTCTTTTGCATCTCTTTAGGGTCTTTTGCATCTCTTTGAGTTTTTTTTTTGTTTCTCTTTAGTATCTTTTTCATATTCTTTAGCACTTTTCCACCTCTTTATACTTTTTGCAGCTTGTTAAGTTTTCACTGTACTTCCCATACTGTTCATAGATTCCCGAAAATAATTGAAATTAAATTAAATTCCATTCACCTTCCAGACCTCGACTGTTTCACAACAAGAGGAAAAGAGTTTGAAAAACAAATCATTAATTTAATAGCAGCAGTCGAAGCTATTTTTTCACTATTCGTCAATTTTTCATTCTATTCAAAACTTAAAATTTAAGCAATTGAAGCTGCTTTCTTCAATTTAAAAATTTGTAAAAATGAGAATTCGAGATTTGGCAATTTATTTTGGTTTTGACAAGCTGCAGCGATTGTATCAGGATGTAAAGATTCACGGTGGTCTTCTAATGGCAATCCAAAAATTTCGTAGATTTGATGATCTGAAGAGCGGTCGGCTTATTGGTCAAGATAAATATGGCAACAAATATTATGAAAATTTATATTACTTTTTTGGACGTAGTCGATGGGTTGAATATCCAGAATATAAGAATTGTGAAATGGATGGATCACAAGTAGCGCCTGAATGGAGTGGATGGTTGAGTTATCGAACAGATGCACCGCCATATGCTGATCCGATAAAGATATACACTAAATATAAATGGATGTTGGATCACAGTGAAAATTTAAGTGGAACTAAGCACGCTTACATGCCATATTCGACGACAAAACCAAAAATAGAAGCTTGGGTGCCGAAAAAAGACGACTGACAAGTGATAAAATGATTCTAATTAATTTTCCTCATAAAAAATGTATTCTTCGATAACAAAAGTTCATCCACGCATGCCATTCGAAAATAGATCTTGATATCCAACCAAATCAAAAAGTTTATTCTAAGACGAGATGATGCACACAAGTTATTCAGTGTAGGAGTTAATACTGAAGGATTATAGCTGTTCTGCAAAAAGTTTATCTGTTTATGGATATTGTTTAATAACAATCGGATAGATTACATCATCACCTAAGCTTCATGTGCATCTATACTTTATTTTTATTGATGACCGAGATTTTCATTATAATTTTCTATAGCAAATGACTTTATGTGAATTTTCGTTTGTCATGCGATGATTTTTCTGTGTCAAAATAAATTGTTGATTGTGATTAATTGAAATTATGGAAACTAGACTAGATATTTTCATTTTCGGTGTTCTAGAATAAAATATCAAAATGTGAGTCAATGGCTTGTGATTTGAATTTGATTTCAATGGGAATTTCTTGAAAATTGTTGAATAAAATCAATAAATGTCCAATTAAATGCTTAAATGAAAAGGAGGTAGTTTTGAAACAAACAGGTTTCATTCATATGTGATTTTTATAATTTCAAAATTCAACGGCTATTGGAAATTTGAATTTTAACGATTTTCAAAAATTTAAATGTCACTGATTGTAAAATTTGAACGAATCACATTCAAATTTTTGAAAACCAGTAAAATTTAAATTTTTGAAAGTCGTTTTATTTTTTAAAAACAATTCTTATTGAATATCAAATGATTCTATTGATTATTCTCGCTTGATGTTCTCATATTTTGATGAGGTAACCTGTATCTTCAATCAATGACTCATCTTGACACCAGAATTTCCCCAATTCCTTCTTTCCACGTTGGTTTTTCCCATGAATTACCAATTCAAATGATTAAATAAGTATTAAACCCAACAACCTTCTGACTTAGAAGTTCAATTAAGCTCACATTTACATTTTAAAAGCGCAGTTCTCAAAAACAATCCAATTAACCTGATTGACTTTAATGCATTTTACTCATCAAATAGAGAAGAAAAAACAAAACGGTTGAGAACACTCAATAGTAAATTGATCCTGACTACCATTAAAAACCCATTCAGAATTTACATCCATTCGCAATAGAGGGCACCTTTTGAATGAAGCAAATAAGCTCGTAAACTTTTGATTGTGTTGATGATACACAAATGGTGGTTATGGAAAAAAAGAAGGCGAGGCTCTTGATTATTTCTTTCCCTTCTATTTAAGCACGAGCGTCTTCCATTCCCCATCCGAAATGCATTATCGTCAACAAATTTAGTTTTATTTTCAACCTCAAGAAAAATAAATAAAAACAATTCAAGTTTCCTTTTTGCCTTTTGGGCCGGTTTCGCTCACTTTCATCTTTTTATTTTTTTATTCCTCTTTCCTTCTGAGCGAGATGAACTGCATACATAATGTCTATAATTATCAACACGGCAAATCGCAATTGACGATTGACGAGTAGTTAAAAATGTTTGTAATTATTTTTTGTCGTTCTATTTTTAAGTTTTGTTACATTCACTTGACATGTATGCAGGGAATGAAGTCAAATGCAAAATATTTTCATCAAATTTTTTACTATCTTGGGATTCTTTTGCGCTACCTTAAAGTCTATGCTATATTTGTCAATGGCTCATTTAAATATCAGTTAAAATTATAATGTTACTTTCACTCGAGAGTAAATTGCGTAAAATGGTTGGCTTGACGCAATGTTAATGAGTTTATTTATGGAATTCCACTGTGGACTAATTAACGGAAATTTGAAATTTGAACTTTTCAACTGACGGATCTTGCGAAATTACAATTTCAGCTTTTAAATTTAAACTTTTAAAAAAATCAATTTAAACTAATGATAATTAACAGATAAAAATAAGTCCAAGAAGCACAAGATAGGGTTTTAGAGAAATTTTATCAAAATATTGTGTCAATAAGATTCATAATTGACAATGGATTCTTCTGATTGTTTTCATTTTATCAAAAAAATCTTATAATTTACCAAAAAAGATTAATTGTGCAGAACCAAGTGCTTATTATCCTTCAGAAATATTAACAAAAGTGCTAAGGGGCCGTTCACTTATGACGTCCAAGGGGGGGGGGGGGGGGGTGTCAGCAAGAAAAGAATAATAGAAATCCATTGTTCTTTTTTGAAAAATGACCGTTAATTTCGGACGTCATAAGTGAACGACCCCTAATTTCTCGCAAACTGGCACTTCTTCTAGATTAAGTCAATGTAAAGAGAGATTGATGGTAATTAGAGAACTAATAGTAATTAATGATAAAATTATTAGCACTTTTGTTTTATATTCCAGCTTACAATACATTTACAGTGTTTAATCAATAAAATTAGTTTCATAAACATTTCCATTGTGTAAAGTTCTAACACAATATTCCAGTTTTACATTAAGAAATTAGCTAAAAGGAATAAAAAAAATCAATAATCATCCCTAACTTAATAAATACGAAAAGAATCTACATTTCTACAAAGTAGCACAGCCAATGGCAAAATGAAATCCGAACAAAATTCCTAAAATTCATGTTTGAACATTTTTCATCTGTTCTTTGAAAGAGCTTCAAATTGCTTTATGAATTCTTTGGTCAAATTGATATTAATCTAAAATAGTGACACATTGAAAATTTATTAAAATTGCGCAAAACATAAATGTACGAATATATCAAAAGCTAAGGAAAGAAAAGAAGATTTCCGAAACTGAAAATAGCGTCATTTCTTTGGGGTCGTTCATTTATGACGTTCATTTATAACGGTCATTTTCAAAAAAGAACGATGAATTTCCAGAAATTTCTATTGTTTTTTTCTTGCTGACCCCCCCCCCCCCCCCTGGATGTCAAAAAAGAACGGCCCCTTAGATGCTACACAAAAAATTTTTATTCTTGAAAATGAAAATGAGGAATTAGTGATGGAAACGGATACAGAAATACATATGCATATTATATCCACCATCAAATAAAAATTTATATCATACGCAACCTACGCAAAATAATATAAATATCTTTATTTACTTTTAATAAATTAAAAGTGTCGTATGTAGAGACACAACACAAATATATCATAAATGATCATAAGTGTCTATCTTTCTATGTGATTTGAGAGGAAATTTCGATTTGAAAGACATTTTAAAGGAATTTTAATTAAATGTTTAATATGCGGCAGTAAAAATTGTATGAGACACAGTCACTAAGTTACACATTGTTTGTATTCAAAGCAAAAATGTGTCGAACATTCCCAGAAACAATTCATTAAGTTAAACATGGCGTTTAGTAAAAAATTTGCCAGTAATTTTTCCTGTGAAATATAAAACTCTTTTAAAATAATAAATTAATATCATATGTCTTATGTAATCTGCCACAACAGAATACATTATGAACTGATGTCACTTGAATATTTTATTTTTCCTTCTCCTTCAATCTTTTTCGCGGCTTTTTATGAGGTTTTTTAAGCAAATGTTGAAGTTCTCAAATTTGTTCGCAATTTTTCTAGACTTGAACAATCTGATGATGACGTCTGTTCGCTCTTTTTTTTTGTGGATTGTTTTCAATGTCAGGAGCATACTCCATAAGTCGGCAACCGCAAAGGTTATTATTTTTGTATTCGAATTATCGTGGGAATGTTGATTGACAGGAAAAATTGTTCTTGGTGTCATACATTTTGACATTTTTATTGAATTTTCGAGAAAAGGTGAATTTAAATTTTTTGCACCAACTTTTAAGGTTTGCATCAATAAATTTGAACTGTTTGCATCATTTATATTAATGATATCATTTGTGAGGCAGATTTGACATCATTATAATTCAGTGTGAAAGATGCAAAGTTTTGCTTCATTGATGCAAAGTTCTGATTCAATGATGCAAAGTGATGCTTCAATGATGCAAAGTTTTGCTTCATTAATACGAAGTTCTGTTTTAATGATGCAAAGTTTTGCTTCAATGATGCAAAGTTTTGCTTCAATGATGCAAAGGTTTGCTTCAATGAAGCAAAGTTTGCATCTTTTTTTTAAGATGCGAGATTTTTTTTTCAAAAATTTATCCTTATCTGTATACAATTATACGATGATAAAGCTTCGCTTCAATGACGCAACCTTTTTTTATGAATTGCAGCACAAAAAACTTTAATTAAATCAAAACCAGGCAAAGACTATAATAACTTATCAGCTAATACTGAAGCGTGAAGTAAATCAAATTAATATCAACACATTCAGCGTGAATCTTAATTAAGAACTAAGAGTAATTAAGCAGTAAAAATGAAATAAATAAAGAAGTATCAAAAACATGAAATTAAAATCTTTTTTGACCTTCAGATTTGAAAAGTTCGCAACCCTCGGTCATTTAGGGTACAAAACAAGCTTGTTTTTATACACCTACACTAAAATTCTGATTAAATCAAGCAAAAATCTGTTTTTAAGCACGAGAAAAAAGTTGCGATTCTCGAAATTGTTTGAGTAAAAAGAAAGATTCTCAGAGAGCAATAAAAGTGAGAAGAAAGCAGACAAGACGCTGCCCGGTATTTCGTAATAGTACACTCGAAATACTTAAAAATAAAAAAAAAAACTGAATGAAATTGAAAAAAATCTTGAAATTTCACAGTAAATGTGAAAAAAATAGTTGAAACAATATTAAATTACATTTTCAATAAATTTTATGAGATGTGAGAAGTTTAGTAGCAATGAAAAGAGGTTTGGTGTGTGTGAAATATATACAAAACGGAAGGAGTGATGAAAAACACTTGCGAATGAGATCAGGTGTTTTGCAAACTGATGAGAAGTAAGAAATATACACAGCATTTTAAGACAGACCAATATTTGGTGTTGCTGCAATCAAAATAAAATAATTCAATTTGTCAAAATATTATTTTAAGTCGAGATGAGTTTGTTGTGGGACGAAATGATATCTTCTGGGATTTATGGAGAATTGTACATTCACATAAATTTATGTGACCTTCATTCTATGACAAAGGTAAATCATTTAATTGCCGAGATGTGGATGGGGGAATCAAAGATTAATTGGCAATTTTAGATTCAGAAAGTATTGTTATTATTATGTTTTAACATTTCATCATAAATGAATATTTCAACGTTTTTAGAATTTTTAAATTTTAACGGTT